ACTATTGGTTATTTTCAATATAAAATAACCAATAAAATAAAATAAAAAAAACAAAATAAATTTATTTTTAAATTAGCATCCTCCTTTTTCTCAGCATCCCTTTATTTCCTTCTACTGTGATAAAAGTTTAATTTGTTGATTTGTTAAAATTTTTTTTGAAATTAATAATTTAAAAATAATAATATGAATTTTTTTCCTATATTATAGTTAGTAAAAAACTATTTAACCCTTCCAGTACCAGAAATCAACAAAATTTAATTTTTATTTTTTTTCAAAAATTTTCAAAAAAACAAAACCCAATTCCAAAATTCTGAAAAGTTGACAAGAAAATTACCATTTTATAGTTCATGAAAGCCAGTAAAAATAATGTATAAACAAATAACCGTCATTTTTTTATCAAAACAACAGAAAAACCGAATAAATGAGTAGCAATTTTGTATCGAGTGTAACAATTACTTGTTGTTTATAAAAAAATAATTCAAAAAGTATAACAAGTGTTAAAAATGCCAAATGTTTCGAAGATACGACAAAGGATTTAAAAATTGAAGTTTACAGTTCATATTGTATAGTTTTATTATTATATATTTACTATAATGACAACTAAAACGATTAATTAAAATAATTGGTTTAAATTTAAATATACAGTAAAAAGTGTTTATTTGTGGGTTTTTAAACAGAGAAAAAACGTATATTTGTGGGTTTATCATGGAATTGTGAAGTAAATTCTATTCACCATTTTTTCCATTAAAAACAGTGTTATAGAAAATATAGTAATTTTTTTGAATTATAATAAAACTATATTATTTATCTAAGTGGACCTAAATTCAAGGTTCTAGAGCAAAATAATTATTTGTGGGTTTTACATTTGATTAGTCCATTGACCCACAAATAGACGTAACCCACAAATATAAAAACCCACAAAAAGACACTTTTTACTGTATAGTTTATTCGTTGAACCCTTATGTGGGGTTATGTGTGTTACTTGCTGATTCGTTAAACATTTTCACTTTTCTTTTTGTCCCTTTCATGTATCAACATATCACTCTTCTTTATTTCTGTTATATAATTTTGTTTTCGACGTTTTTATCGTTTATTTTGGTTATAGACAAAATATATTACATCATAACAAGTATACATAAAAAGGAAATAAATAAACATCAACAAACATCAGTCCAAAGCAAATAAAAGTTGTTCTTTTCACTTATTATATACTACGTGTATTTGTATAGACATGTTTTTTGCGTGTTCATTTGACTGTGTATATTCATGAAACACTGCAGAGTTTTACCCCCTCATAGTTATTGATAATTAAAATTCACTCAAAACAAACATTTAACATGAAAGTTTTACACGTACATTTTTGAGAATTACGAATCTGTTTGTTAGTATTTGACAGAGCACATAGAAACTATAAACAAACTATAACATTTGAGTACAAAAAGTTGTATTTGCGTGCTTGTGTATACATTTACCCATTTTTCGTTAACATGTTTATGTTATGTTAATTTTTTAGTGTTATTTCCATATTATTTTTCAGTTCAACTTCCAGGGTTGTTGGTTATATTTATTTTTATTTAAAGTATTTTTATAAAGTAAAATGAATGTTATTTTGTTTTAAATGTAATTATAATATATTTTTATATATTTAATTTGAATTGTGTAATATAATAATTAAACTATAATAAAACCATTATACCAAGGCTTTTGTTACAAAAAAAACATCCAAACTTGTTCTTATCACATGGAAGATTTGATTGTTGGTGACTACAAGTGGAAAGCAATGGGCCCCATCAACAAAGAAAAGAAAAAGTTCAAAAGGAAGGTTGCGAAGGTGGGTGCTGACTATAAAGCAGAATTTTGTAATTCGACTGCTTCTGACTTGTTTTTTGGGTTTTTTGACAAAAATTTAGTCGAAAAAATAACAGCATTTACCAACACCAAATTATTAGGAAAAAAAAGGTAAACCCCAAATAAAAAAATAGATATTATACGATATTTCGGCATTTTACTATATATGGGAGCACACCATGACATAAAGAATCCAATTTCCGAACTTTGGAACGAAAAACACGGGAAACCAAATATTTATGGTAAAGCTATGCCCAGAAATGTTTTTTAACTTATCAATGCCAACATCGATACTTACAATGTCACAACTTTTCCGGATGAAGTTGAGAAAGAGAGTTGTTTTATGGGTGATGAAGAAGAGAGTGAGGAAAGTGCATCCAATGAAGAGGAAATTCCAGAGAATAAAGAAGAGACTGAAGAAGAAGACTATTTGAGTTGTGATGAGTGGGTCAAAAAACATTCTGTTGACCTGACCGAAGAAAAGCTAAAAAGGGATTTTGAAGTGAGACAAAAAGTAAATGATGAAGAGACTATAGAAAAGGGGGTTAATCAAAGCATCAAACACGCCAAACTCGAATGACAAATTTGGCAAAATTGGGGAAGTGTTGGAAGCTTTTATTCACAACTTGGTGAACAACAAATACTTTACACCGAGCACTACACAATTGGTTGATGAACACCTTTGCGCATTCAAGGGAAAGATATTGCAAAAATATTCATCAAGTCCAAACCTCAGCGTTACGGCATCAAGTTTTGTGTTTGTTTTTTTGGTTGTTGTCGTAAGAATAATCAACGAAGTCGGAGATTCACGGTGTTGAGACTAATACATTGGTAATTGACTTGTTGTTGATATTGTGTTTGATAATATGTTCAATGAATAACAAAAAGATGTGCTGTGATTGTGAAAGTGGTATGGTTATAAACCTACAGATGTACTGTGGAAAATGCGACAAGAAGGAAGAAAATCAAGGATTTCGGGTGACGATAAATATGGTGGCTCCACAACTGTGTATGGGAAAGTTTGTGACAGTTGTATGTGACAACTTTTCTGTAGCTTAAGATTGGCACATTATTTGGCTCAATATGGTTCAACAATGCTTGGGACTGTGCGAAAAAACAGAGTTGAGGTACCAGAAGAAGCCAAGCAAATCAAACGTTATGACACCAATGATGATAAGAAGGCTACTACAAGAGAGGCAGATTCAACAGAAGTGTATACAAAGGGTGTATGCAAACTGCTTTTTTACTTTAATGAAAAGAAGAAGTTGGTGCCCATTATGATGAAGATGCAATAATGCAAAAGAGTTGTACACCGTTCAGGAGCAAGTGAGGGGAAAGGATGGCAAACTTGTGAGTGTACACAAACCAAATGTGATAAAACAATACAATGCGACAATGGGAGGTGTTGATAGTGCAGATCAGATGATACATACTTACACTTGTAGAAGGCGCATTTCAAGATGGAATGTGAGAATACTTTATGATTTACTTGACATCGCTGCCCTCAATGCCTACAAGGTATATCATCATCACCACGATAAGGTGGACAGGTTGAATTTCCTCAATGAATTGACAGAGTTATTGATGGAAATGGAGTAAATTACTTCTTTGGTTTTATAGGTTTTATTATAGTTAATAATCTATTTATTTTCTTTGTTATTTTTCTGTTTCTTTTGTGATCTCTGAAAATCATATCTGTGTATCATACAATATTCAAAGCGTTTTTTTAACATATTTATAGGGGGGCTTTGCTTTTTATTAAATTATTATTATTATACTAATTTTTTACTATAATATTATACAAATAAATGATGTGATTACATAATATTCTAAATCTCTGACTCACATCACCCTGCTTCTTCGTTTTTGTATGCTTTATCATTGATTTTAAATTTGTAAGGATAGCATCACTCTACTGAGTTGGTATATCAATTCAAAATAAAAAAATTGGAATCTATTTGTTGGTTAGTTTTTATTGTGTATCCCTGTATAAACGCCACAAACAACAAACAGTATATTCACTTCAAATAGCTATATATTGTGAAAATGGTGTATAGAATACATAATATGGTTGATAAGCGTCACTATCTTATAAATATAAATATAAACTATACACTGTTTATCAGTAAATCTTTCGTTTTTATTAATTTTCTGGTTTTGATTTTTGTCCCAAAAATGCATTTTCAAAAAACAAATGCCAAAACAAAAAAATAATCAGACAAAACAGATTATATGTTACCATTTGTTTAATAATAACAAACAAATACTTGTCTTTCCAATAAAATAGAAAAAAATTGCTCTCTGTATTCATAATACATTTGTCTTTTTTTGAAAAAGTCATATCTTTATTACTCGCAACTGGAAGATATACAAAATTAAATAAAATAGGTGTAATGATCATTAAAGACAAATTTTGGTTTTACTGTCTTTATTTTACTACTTGAGTTGTTTATGACTCTTTTTCTATTCAAATTGATGTGTCTGACGATTAAAAATCAATCTTATTCATTTATTATTAAATTAAAAGGTTTTTATTGTTTATTGAATAAGAAAGAACTAAAAAAATGTGATTTTCACAAAAGTGTATTTTCTTCATATTTTTTCAGTTTTATATTTTACTCTTTTTTGACAAACTCGAATTATTTTATTTTTCACTGAATTACAAAAAAGATGAAAAAAATAATTATGAGATCACAGTGTTTTTTGTTTGATGTAATCGCTTTTCTAAATATTCAATGAATGACGTATCCCTTGTTTTTCAATAATAAATTTTCAAATTGAAAAGTTATATAATTCATTTTTACATTCTGAAACTCCTTTTAGTAAAGATTATTATTGTGTTTAGTTTAATATGCTATACTATTTTTTTGATATAAAAACAAAATTTTTTCAACTTGAAAAGAGAACAATCCGAGGAATCTTCAAGTCTCTCTCGTTGAAAAAAGTGAACCTTTTTTCAATAAAAATACGATTTTAGGTTATAATTTACTATTAAATTATAATATTTTAAATTGTTTTTACTAATAATTTGTTTCCTGGTATTTCCCATGGTTGTTAAAAGTTTAAAGCGTTTTTTGCATTTATTCTCTCTAAAATACACTCAAAATGAATAAGATTAAATGAAGTATACATTTTTTGGAAATTCCTGGTACTGGAAGGGTTAAACAAACGTAGTTGTTCTGAATATTTTTAACTATTTTGCAAAATAATCTCATTAACACAACCAATGCAAAAATAGAATTTATTTGAATTTTGTATAAATAAATCAAATTTGCAAATGATTTTTTTGAAATAATCATTTTATTCAAGTTTCTCTTTTTGATTATTTTTTTAAAATGTTTCAACATCTAAAATGTCAAAAATAAAACACGTAAATGTTATTTGGTTGTTAAGACATCAAAATATGGAGACGAAATTGTGTAATATATGTAATATCACATTCAGTTTATATTCATATTTTTATCATATATAACTTTGATTTTTGATTTTTTAAATTTATATTAATGTATATTTGTGATATAACAGTTGTTTTTAAAGAAAGATATATCATCTATTATTAAATATCCAGAACCAAAATTTTTATGATGAATGACATTGTTATAATATATAAAAACAAAAAAATAATAGCCATATATTATTAAAAGATTCAACCATATTATTTTCACTATTTAAAAAAATCTATAATAATTGATTTACTCTGTTGTATAAACTATGGTGTCAGATGGAAAACAACATTCGCCGATTTTTGTAACATTTGATGGCATTGTAACACTACTTAGACTAATACACCCAGAAAAACAACAATAACCAATTGATTTCACACTTGATGATATTATAACACTACTCAAACTGCTACATCTACTGAAACAATAATCACCAATTGATTCTACTTTGAATGGTACTATTATATTGCTTAATTTACAACATCCACTGAAACTATAATTACCAATTGAAACAACGTTTTGTTGTATTGTAACACTTTTTAGATTAAAACATTCACTGAAACAGCCGTCTTTAATTGTTGTAATACTTGATGAAATGTTTACACTACTCAATTTATCACAATTACTGAAACAATTTTGGCCAATTAAAATAACAGATGATGGGATTGTTATTTGAACCAGATTAATACATTTACTAAAACAGCCATCACCGATTGATAAAACGGTTATTGGTATATTTAAAGAGCTTAGACGACTACAACCATTAAAACTAAAATTCTTAATTTTTGTGACACCCAAAGGAATATTAACACATTCTAAATTTTTACATCCAAAGAAACAGTTTTGATTAATTAGTTTAATGCTTTGTGAAACAATCACAGAACTCAGATTTACACAATTTTTAAAACATTCATCTCCAATTTCAGTGACACTTGATGGTACGTCCACAGTTTTTAAACTCGTACATCCACAAAAACAACAATAACCAATTGATTTTACACTTGATGGGAATACAATATTTTTTAAATTGCTGCATTGATAAAAACAGTAATTAGAAATCACAGTAACCAGCGATGGTATTGTTATACTACTCAAAGTGTTACAATTACAAAAACAATTATCACCAATTGATATTACATTTGATGGTATATTTATATTTTTAAGATTGATACATTCATCAAAACAACTAACTCCAAATGATGTTACATTTAATGGTATTGTTATTTTACTTAAATTGTGACAATTTTTAAAACAACTATATCCAATTGATCTGACATTTGTTGGTATATTTATACTACTTAGTTTATCACAATTAATAAAACATTCGTTATCAATCGATGTGATACAAATAGGAATGTCATTACCAAATCTTTTTCTGTTTGAATAAGTATATGTTACATTTACGAACTTAATGTTTTGTTTGTAATTATTTTTAGAGGTGGTATAATCGACATTAACCCACACAACAATTCGGTAGAACATCTTTGTCACAACAGCCTTTTCTTTTTTGTTGATATCTGGATTAGATATTTTAGAGACAAGTAATTTATTTCCAAATTTTTCATCTTCTAAATTCCATATATGAAGTGTCTCGATTTGAGGGAAATATTTTATTGTTATGTTGGTCAGAGGAATTGGGTTATAATGAAACTTATCCATATTGCCATTGTACTTTTTGCATACAAATTCCAAGTTTACAAAGTCTTTAATAGTCTCGAAATATTTCGAGACAATCATGATGTGATAACTGTCTAATAGAGGCATTTCGGTTTAAAAGATTACTTGTGGATTTATAAATAATTTTATAAAATAATGTTAATTTTTATGATATTTGATTTTATTTCAAGTTGTTTAATCATGGTTCGTCAAAAAACCTAACAATAGGCAGTGAAATTGAACTATTTAATATAAAAAGAAAAAAATAGTCGGAAAAACATTTTCAACTGAAAAAAATTGCCTTAACACTCAAAAAAACACTTCCTGTTAAAAGCGTATTCAAATACTCATTTAATATTTTGGGAATTGACCACTTCATTTTTAATATTATAAATATAGTAAAACAAATTATATTGTTAAATCATAGTCCGGCAAACAGATTCAAAAAACTTCCGTTATAAAATCGGCAATGCATTCTTTTGGAAATTTCTTAAATTTTGGACTTTCCAACAATTTTGCATAAGGATCACATTTCAAATAACATTTTCAAAGTAAAACTCATAAATTATTTTCATCAAAATATTTTTCTAAAATTCATTTGATAAAAAACATGAAGTATAAATTACATTTTCAATAACAAAACAATTATATTTTACCTAATTTAAAACACGAAATTTAAAACTAAATTTTGATAGTTAAATATAAAAACTAATTGTTGTAATTACCATTCAATAATATTTAAACCTAACATATTGAAATTAATTAATATAATTATATTATAAATATACTAAATTATTTAAAAATTTAATAAAAATTTTTTAATAATATAGTATTAACTATTATAATTAATGGCAATTGTTTATAATATAAATATAAAAATAATATTAAAATATTAACACCAAAAAAATGTGTATTAAAAATGATGATAATATGTATAACAAATAATAGTACAATTTTCTTATAAAACATAAATATCAACTTTAAAAAACTATTCTCTAAATTAATAACAACCATTCAGAATAGTTAAATTAAACAAAAAGTTTTATTTATTGAATTGAAATTAAATATTAATTATTAAAAAATCATTAATTATAGTTTAAATTTATAAATAATTTATTATACAAATTAATTAATTTTATTATAAAATAATAATACACAATTGAATTTACTCATTACGATATTTTTTGTTACATTCATTTTATTTTTTAATGTGTATTAATTTATTAACATTTTTAATAATTGATAAGTATTTTATAACTTGAATATTAACAATTTTATTATATCATATTGAAATTTTATTTTTATTCTATTTAAATTCACAAATTATTATTATATTAATTTATACTTAACATAAATCTTAAACCAAACCCACCTTAAAAACAATTAATTACATAATCTGTTTTTCTTTATTTTTTAAATAACATTACCATCAAAATCAGAAATAATGAAGTATTAAGTAATTTTAAAATTATTAATAAATATATTATAACAAAAATTTGTTATATATATATTAGTTTTTAATAATTATATATTAAGACAAAATAATAAATTGAATAATTTTATGAAAATTTTACTATCATATCTAACTAAATAAATAAAATAATTAATTAATTAATTATAAATTGATAAGTTATTAATTTTTCATTTCAATAATATAAAAATATATAACATAATAAATTATAAAAACAGAACAAAATCAATTTAAATAAATTGTAGTCTCCTCTTGAAAACTTCCCAGTGCTTCTTGGTGCATCGAAAAAGTGTGTCAATTTTTAAATTGGCTCTCAGGGCAAACTCGACATTCGAAAAGTATCTTTCAAAACACGCAGAACTTGGTATTAATGCAAAACAACAACAAACAAATTAATACAACTTTGGGAATTTTTCCCGATTAAAAGGAAAAAAGTCGCGTAAACTAATTTTTCTTTTGATTCCAGTACTTTCTCTAATTTTTTGTTCAAATGAATATTGGTAATGTTTTGATCTCAAGGCATGGCAAAACTTTGCAATTGACAAACCTTTTTGAATACGTGTTCGTTCAATTTCAATGCTAAATAAATCTATTTCTTTTTGAATATCTTCATAACCTGGACCCGCGATGAATTTTTCTCCCATAATAATAATTTTTGGACAATAGAAAATGTCAAATAAATAATCCAAATCTCGGTTTTTTATCATTTCTTTTTCAAGTGCTTCACTTACTAAATAATGTTTACAATCAATTTGCGTTTTTGTGTTAACATTAATCGTTTAATCACAATTAAAATAGCACAATTGGAATTGAAATCTAAGCTTCATTAGAACTTGAAGTACAACTGACTGATTATTTAAATACTTTGAAGTTTTTGGAAAAAAAAACACTCATTAAGTTCTGCTTTATTTTCAATTGATTCTTTGACTGATTTAATAATAACATCAATGTAAACTCCAAAACATTTTGTTGTTTCAATAAGGTCAGAAAGTATACAAAGACGTGTTTGTGATTCAATACACAACTCGTTTAAAACTGTATAAATATCATTGAACAAACACACACTAAAATATATATAGGAGTTGTTCAAAAAATATTTCGATATAATCTTGCATTTCAACGTCGAATTCTTCAATTTGTTTTTCGACCATTTCACCAAACACATCTGCTTGTTGTTCTTCGTCTTGTACAAACTGCTCAATCAAAGATTCACTTTTCAGGATTGCAGACGAAGAATTTGCCATATAGTTCCACCTTGTTGCAGAGTAAGTGGACAATTTACATTTTTATGTTGTTGGAATTACAAAATGTGTAGTATTCTTTTAGCTTCTTTGAGTTACACAACCATTTAATAAATGTTGTCACTATATCAAATGGTGCTTCCATACCTACATCTTGGGCAAACAAGTTGCATCTATGAGCGGGGCAGTGTACTCCATAAAACTTTCTTTCGATTATATTTCCTTCTGTGTTTTTTTAAAAACCAGTTTCATTTTCACGTGTTTAATCATACCGTTA